ATCCTATTAAAGCATGTGTGATTTCTCTCCCTCTCCAATTACACCAACAAAATGTAAATTGGTGCCATCCTTGATCCTCTTAATGGAATTCTCAAACTCTTTTACTGAAATTCTCCACTGGTTCTTCTAAAATGGATAACAGACAGAAACCAGCAACTGATGTTGAAGTTTTGAGTTCCCGTGTCAATTTCCATGGCCACTTTTCATGTGTTGCCCTCTCTGCATTGTCTAATAGTGCGGTAATCTTATCAAATGGAAGATAGCTCAGGAAACTCCTCCTGTAAAAATACTGTGTCCTGACCAAATGTATTGCCAATTCCCTACTTTGAGGCAAGTGTTGAGACTTGAAATCTTCTCATACCTTTGGTTATGTACTTCCACATGGAGAAATGAGATGTTTGCCCACCTGCATGGCTTTGTTTCCCATATTTTGCTCCAATAATCAGTCTCCAGTACATGCTTCACTTACATGATGATTACTGAATCGCCAGATTCCTTATCCCCGGGGTTCCCTTGCTATTGATCAACTTAGCCTTCGCACTTCCGAGTTCTGTCAACCTGCTTCAAGATCTTGCTAGGAAATTGGAGAGAATGACATCTGATATGTAGGAATATTGTAAATGTTAATAATGTCAACCAACCATCCATATACATATTGCTCCGCCGGGTACCTAGCCTTTCTTTTCATTCTACTATTCCTTGCCACACTTGAGTTGTTTTATATCTAGCTCCCAGTGCCAATCCCAGATAAGTTTCGGAAATGATGTCAGTTTTTCACACTAGAAGCACATCCACTTCTTCAAAGTTTTGCAGATTAGTTACTGGTACTTTCCGCATGTCTAATATGCAACCTACTGCCCTTCAAATGATGGGAGGAGTCACTTCTGTATTAGTGTCTTCCTATTTAGTGGACCAATCAATAGTCTCATTCATCATCCTCTCACAAGTCTAATGTTTTTCAGAACTAGCCACATGTAGATCAGCAGAAACTGCAGGCAAAAATGAATCCAATCCAGACTTCTTTACCATATGATTCCGCAATCTTATTCTCCCTCCTTGGGTGTGTAGAAAAATCCCGGTAAGCCATTTAAAACAATACAAACTACAGAATGAGACACAGCAGAGATAGTGCCACTCCCACTTTTGTCATCAAAAGAACCATCCATCCAAACCATGGCACGGATAAGTAAGGACCATGCCCTAGACCATCCAATATGTGAAAGGGACCATAGTTACAAACATGACTGCTCTGACTTGTGAAGCCAATGCTCTAGTTGTTGAGACTAAACCTGTAGGGAGAACTCATACTTCTCCACTGCTCAACGTTACCATGAACCTGAAAAAACATAAATATGAGCAAGATAAAAACACAAAGAAGTGATCCTCCATTTTGTCTGCACTATGCTGTTAGGTGAGTTAGATCATGATGAACAATGCCAGAGAAACTGGTGGACACAACTCAAATGAAACATCTCCAGGGTAGTCATAAATTTGGCAGATACCTTCACATATTACCCTGTTGGTAAAAGGCATTAGACACTTATTCACAGAGTAGCATTCAAAATCTTTCCTTAGCAACAAAACTTCATGGATCATACTAAATCAGCTAACCAATTGAAATTACTAACACCTTGAACTAACAATAGCACCATAATTAAAAAGTTTATCTCAAAAAGATTAAAAAGTAAAAAATTAAGTCAGATAAAAAGATCAAGCTACTCTGAAGACTTATCATAAAGAGCATAAATAAACACAAATGAAGCTACTGTCCATTAGTCTTTCACCCTTGAGCAGCACTTAACCTTCACTACTCTTCTGCCGTTCCATAGAAATCATTTACTTTTGACAAGAAATCTGCTACAAGAGCCAGTTATTTCAAATACGAAAGAACACACATCTACTCTTCCTTGCCAAAAAGCCAGAGCAGAAAAAATTGACAGGAAAAAAACATCAGCTACAGCCTACAGGTCATCCCTACCAAGGAGGCTTACCGGTACTTAAACAGAGCTTCTATATTTACCTGTTCCTAACTTCTCTCTCTCTTATTAGTCCTGTCACAAGTTCTTTCCTCTTCCACAAGAGGGAGACGAAAGAAAGAAAAATTGCAGCTATTTCTTACTAACTTATAATTATTCAATATCCCTAATCAAATCTGACACTAATACCTTTTAAAACTTCTTTCCTACAAGCCCAGTTAGATATTTCTATTGCTCAAAAATCAGGGAACTCCAGCTTTCATACATGCTTGCATTTGCAGCAAAACACACCGCACAATATCTTCCTCTCCTTTCTATGGTTGGAAGGTCAAAATAAGATTCGGAAAACTCTGCAATATGATAATGGGAGAGGTCATTCAGAACTTTTTTGATTAGCTTCAGTAATAAAAGCTCCTACGCACATCAGCATAAGTTTGTTGCAGGGACAAAAAAATTGCAGAATTCAAAACAAAAAGAGAAGCCGTATTCCAAAATAAGTTATCCAATGAATTGGATTTGATCAGTATTGTCATAAATGTTGGAGGATGTAACAAACACAGTTACTGGGATTATAAGGAAGATGAAACTTGGGCTGACTTGTTGCAATGATCAAGCTGAAGAAGGATGAATCTTGTACTGAAAGATCAATACTGTATCTCAATTTGGAAGTCAAAGGTAGAAAATTCACAAAGAGATGAGAATGAATGACTCTCGAAAGAAACCTAAAGGAATACCAAGAGGTAGAAAATAAGCAGAATATGCAGCTGAGACAGAGTGCACACTAACAGCAGTTTATTTTAGTCTATAAATCATTGTCAACAGAACTGGATTTGTGTAGTAATCGGCCTTGGCAGCAATCAATTCATTTTCTGGAATTCATCTTTATCCGGTCATTTTTTTGAAAAACAACTTCAATACTTAAAAAGAAGAGAGCATATTTAGATAAGAAAACAGAATTTATCATTGTGTATATATATGATTGAACAAATTATTGTGAGAATGGAAAGGATGAGAATATAATACGTAGAATAACCAACATAACAAAGTGACATATAGGAAATACTTCTGCAGAGTTCCCTAACTAAGAATGTACTTGCACCATGACTGGAGTTGAAAAGGCACTGATAAGAAGTCGGAAAATTTGGAATATACAAGTTAATACCATGAATACAATTACAATACAAGGGGAACATGACAAGTTCCCACTAACAAACGGAGTCTTTCACCACATCAGTTGATTAAGAAAACTAAAACTGGAAGCGAGACAAAAGTCCTATCAGCAAATGCACGAGTCTCATGATAAATTGAGATGAATCAGAAAGAGAAATCTTGCACTCTTAAGAAAATATCCACCCAAGACTAGAGACACAAATCAGCAATACCAATGCTCAAAACACAAATTGAAAAAAAAAAACTCCGACAATAATAGAACACCAAAGAATACTGGAAATTCGTTCAGTCTGGCAATAATAACCATTAGCCAATATGCAACAGTCCTGCCAAAAAACAAAAGCTAGACTCGATTCACATTCAGAGGTCAATTGTCTACACGATTGTTCACCTTATAGCTTCAAAAGGTTATAGTTGGAACACATAAAATAGTTAGAAGTGCAGAACACCCAGAATTAGCATATTAGGAGCAGTGGGAATCACGTGAACATATATGAGAGTCATGATTTTTTAAGTACCTTAAAACAGTTTCCTCAAGGCACCTTTACCAATCAGAAGAGGAAACAGAAGACAAGTGGAGCGAAGCTTGGATTGTAGCAGAAGATAATTCCAGATAAAATTCCTAATGTAGATGCAGCTTCAAGAAAAAGTTAGCTCCTCTTCTTACAAAAAGGACCACTGGCTCTAAGTAAGCACTCTGGATACAAATCTGATGACAACCATATGCAGTAGTTTTCACAGGATGATATAATTTTGTTAGTAATACACAATCACAAAGCTCAAGAAATAATAATTATGCTCCATATTGCAGATGGCAAGTCTAACAGACACGGACACAAAACATTTACATATACGAACAAACTAACATACAATTCCAATCTAGATTCCTCAGCCAGACCTCCTGAGTACTCAAAATTCACCAACTTTTTTCTTTTGATAGCCTTGGGTCCAGACCAGCTTGCCCACACCTAGACTAATTCCACGGGATACTTGCCTCCTCCCACCAGCAACAAGTACCAAATAACTTTGTCCACCAATGCTAGAACAAATGCAAAGAAAGCATAAGGTGTTATTGTCTCAAAAAATCACCAACATATAGCAACATGTATCCACAAGCTAGAACAGATACAAAGAAACCACCTAGTGTTTTTGTCTCAAAAATTCACCAACATATAATATAGGCGTCAACAATTATTAGAGACATTACTCCACAAAACAACACAGAACAAATAATTCATCACTCTTAAAGATGAATTAGTTAAGTTCTCACTTCAATGATTTTGTGGTGCATATTGTAGGCTTAGTTCCGCAAGTTACTATGTTTTAATGCTCGACAAAAATTTATACAATTCAAGTTTAACCAGGCTTGGTTCAACATAAAGCGAGAATTTCAGTTAATCAAATTGTCTTTTGATAGATATAATTCCGCACCACTACAAATATTAAACCCTCACGTTATTAATTCCACATCTACTACGTAATGTTAATCCATACACAACATGCATTGATTAACAATAAGTAACTTATTAGATAGCATTTGCAATCAAGGAAATATCCATCCTTGACAATTATTAGAGAGAGAAGATCATAAACTACCACGTAACAGCATGACAAACCCGATTTTATTTTTATTTCATAGAACAAGACCAAATGGACATGTATAAATAACAATCTACTAAAGCACCATCATGAAATATGTAAATAGAGGATTTAACTTACAAAAGCCAGTCTTCACTTTATCCTTTCTATCTCAGGCTTGTTATAAAGTGAATTCAAAACAAGAGCCTACCTTGAAATGTGTTGTTTTTCCTTTTTCTTCAATTATATTACGACAGCTACACACACTAGAAATAAATGTGCAGAAAGCAGAGCACCCACCAAATAAAAGGGCCTAACACATATTTTGGTGTTGATGCATCAAGGGTGTATGTGAAAGGAGGTACCAGGAAGGAAGAGCAACCACTTGAAGTAGAGGTGTACAATCAGGGCATGTTCAAGGTGGAGCTATGCAACAAATGCAAAGAAACAGGGGCACATCCATATGGAGAAGCCTGCCACCAATTTTCTCATGGCATTGAGGATCTTCTTCCTGTCATTCGCCACCCGCTCTACAAGACAGAGGTATGCCGCATAGTCCTCAATGGTGATCCCTGTTCTTCCGGCTATCATTGCCACTTCTGCCACACATCCACTGACCAGGAGAAAGTCATGAGATCACTCAACAGTACTACCAGGTCTCTGTCTCTCCAGCGGTCAATCCTTCATTTGACAAACACTTCAAAATGATCAAACTAATAGGAAAGACTGTTTAGAACCCAGTAAAATAATTGGAACAATTGTGGAAAAAAAAAGTACACAAATTGAGAAATGTCTTTGTAACAACAACATACCCAATGAAACCCCACTAGGTGGGGTCTATGGAGACCTTACCACTACCTCATGGAGGTGATGAGGCTGTTTCCGAATCATTGCAAGTGCATCAAACGCAAGTAAAAGAAGAAGAAAACACTCACAATTGCATCACAAGTCAAGAGGATGGTGTTGTGATAAAGAGACTGGCTTGATTGCATAGTAGGTGAATAGTGTGTTATGAACACTGTGCCATCCTTTAGCGAGCTGGATTTGAATACTCATCATTGTTCTTCTCTTCTTTCTTTTTTTGAGACAGTTCCTCAGTGTTCTTTTATTTCTGTTTATGTTAACGGCACATTTGTTGATACATAATGACACTTCTATATAGAAGTGTTCGTTTGTTTTGTCTCTTCCAAAGCTAGAGAAAGCCACTCCTTTGGTGATGATTAATTCCAACCATATTTCTTTCTTTTATATACAAGTTAAAATCATGCTCAAGTTGAAGCATAGTAACATCATGCACAGATAACTTCACCGAATCAAGAAATCCACTACACTTCAATACCAAACTAATTGAGGCAGACTATTCAAAAGAATTTATCAAAAACAAATGCAGCAAAATGGTTCTATATTAACATAATCAGTTAAACACAGGTAACAGTGAATAATTGCAGGACAAATGCCCAACCAGTGGGAACTATTTGTTTTAACACCCACAAATGGCCAATACTATAATGTGTAATGCCAGCAATCCACAAGGAGGGACCAAATTACAATATAATAAAGGTAGATTTCATTGATTAGGAACAGCATTGTATTTTACATCATCCCATCAAAACTAGAATATAAGAAATAAAAAATTTTAAACAAACAAATCTTTTTATCGACTCTAATCAATTGAATGACAACCAAACCCTAATAACCAAATTCTCAAAAATAACAAATTTTTAAGAGCTTGTAAACTTGGTAACAGCTTTAGTCCCTTCAGAAACAGCATGCTTAGCCAATTCACCAGGCAATACCAATCTAACAGCAGTTTGAATTTCCCTAGACGTAATGGTAGGTTTCTTATTGTACCTCGCAAGTTTAGATGATTCCTGAGCCAATTTCTCAAATATATCATTAATAAAACTGTTCATTATCCCCATCGCTTTGCTTGAAATTCCAATATCAGGATGCACTTGTTTCAGCACTTTGAATATATAGATCTTATACGTCTCGGAACTCTTCTTAACCTTCTTCTTCTTCTTTTCTCCGATACCAACACCAACATCCTTCGTCGGAAGCTTCTTCCCGGCTTTTGGCTTCTTCTCCGCCGGAGCTTTGTCGTCGGAAGGCTTTTCCGAAGCCGGATTCTTCTCGGCGGGCTTCTTTTCTGCCTTAGGAGCCATGGAATAGTTTAGAAATTTAGCGAAGGATGAAATTTTTGTATGACGGGGAAGAAAGGGCGTGGGTTTGTTATTTATAGGTAATGGAAGTTGGTTCTGATTGGATAAGGGAGAGTGATGAGGATCGATGACGTGGATTGATCATGACCGTTGGATTTGGTTTGAAGATCAACGGCTAGTGGAGCTGTGCACGTGTAGATCATTTGCTACGGAAATAATGGCGTCTAAAGAGGAGGAGGAATGAGTAAAAACAACTAGCTTTTTGGGTTGTTATAGTACAAAGAATTTGGTTTAAAGTTTTTTCTTCCAATTTAGAAAAAATAAAAAAATTACATAATTATTTTTCTAATTTAACTTTATCGAATGTTGGACAAATATAGAGTCTATTTGGGGTAGATGAATTTAGATAACTTTTGTTTTTTAAGTAATAAGGAATTGTGTTGGTAGTTGATTGGAGTTATGCAACATTTAGTTAGGCGTATTGAGAGATTACAATATATTAGTGAGCTAATTTTTATTTCTTAATTTCAAAAATGTTTAGTGACCTAATAAATATTATACCCATTAAAACAAATAATTATATAAATACTACAACAAAATTAAAATAAATACTAATAAATTAAATAACAAATAATTAAAAATACATTAATACATGTATTGATAGTGTGTTGCATGGAAACTAAGCAAAGAAATTAATTTAATTAACAATAAAATAATTAACCATGGTCTTGCCGCCAGAGAAAATAGTTAACAAGAAATTAAGAAAATAAATTAAGCAATTAACAAGACAAAAAGTTTGAAGAAAAAAATTGATAATGCTTTTTTTGCATGTATTAAATATTTGATTTGTTGTAAATTTATATAGATTTAAAAGTAAATTGATAAGGGTAAATGTGTAATATATTATTTTACTACATGTATAACTAATACCCACGTAACTTATTGTAACACCTCAGAATTTGAAATAGCTAAATATAGAAAGAACTACATTGGAAATGGTAAAATCTGAAATTTTGCAAGTTAAGCTTAAGATAGGAGTTTTGGGTCAACTTCATGGTCATAGGATGAGTTAGGCTTGGAATCCTCTTTCCAACGCCACCGAGTTTGCTAATTTTTGAGCTCGTATGAGGGAGATATAACTGTTTGAAGTTGGGCTGTCCATTTAAGGAAAGTCACCCGGATTTAAGAGGAGTATTTTGGTCTTTTCCTTACCCTATCAGATTTATTTCATTTTTAGTAAATAATTAGGGGTCTAAACTGATTTGGTTCAGTTTACACAATCATAAATTACGCTAGGGTTTTAGAAAAGATCTCAAGAGGAGAAATGAGGAGAAAAGGGTCAAGATCATGTCAAGTTCTTGAAGGTTTCGTTGCGGATTTCGCCAAGGGTTTGATCCCTAAGAGGTATGTGAGTTCACATAGCGTTGAGTTCGTTCACCCACGCGTCAATCATGTTAATTTTAGCGTAAAGTTCGTTCTAGAAAATTGAAGGTTTGATGTTCTTGATTGGTGTTCTTGAATTTGCTTTCATTCTTAAATTAGAATGGGATTGATAAGTTTTTGAGATAATCATATCGATTTTAAGAGTTGTTTTTGAGTAGATTCTTGTGTACATGTATTGTGTAACTGAATCTAAAGAGAAATTGAGAAAAAGAATCGAATCTAATCGAATTAAGAACAGAAAACGAGTTGAAAATTTCGTCGGAACCACCTGAGAAGGACTGGCGCGGCACGCCCCAAACACGCCAGATGGGTTTGGGGTGGCGCGCCAGCAGTGCGCCAGAATCCAGTCTCCCCCACCCATTTTTCATCGTTTATCCCGTCTGAGTCCTTCTAAAGTGTACTATCACTCCCTATTGATTCTAACTACTCTAAACAACTTCTAAACATCTACAAATCATTCATAAACATGAATCATAACCCTTGAATCCATAATTCAAATTCAAGGTAGATTTGAGAGTCAAGTCTTGAGAGTTCTTCGAGTCATTTTAAGAGGTCGTTTGCAATTGTTTTACAACTTGTTTTAAATGACTTGAACACAGAGTTGAAAAGAGTAGAGTGAGTTCATTTTCTTTAAAATGATATATGGAAACTAAGTATTGCCAAGAGCAAATGTTTTTACATTAAAGATTAGAGAAAACACCGTTTTTCAAAAGAGTTTTCATGAGTAGTTTTAGTACCATCTCTTTTAAGAGAAAGATTTTGAGTAATAATCTCAAACTAGAGAAAATTTATGTTTTTAACCATATGAGCTAGTTACATTTTGGGAGTAGTATTGAGCACCGATATGGGGACGAATTCAGATAGCTTAAGTCTCCATAAACCATGTAGCCAACGTGGGTAGAAAGGGTCATACTTTTTAGATGATTCCTTAATGCTTTTAGCATAGACTAGCGGATCCACTTAATAGTAGGTTCTATACCCCGACAAAGTATAGGACGATCCAGGCAGCGTGAGGCAAGACGTTGTATCATCACATAACTCATAGTGATGATTGTCGATTAGAGAATCTCTATCAGAGTTACTTGTATTTTCATATACAAAAACTAAGTTACTATTGTGTTTTTCAATACACTGAGTTGTTATCTACATGTTTTAAAGCTTTTCTTTATACTGCATATTTATTACTGCTTTATATTGAAAATAATTGAGTTGAGTTGAGACGAGGTAAGTTCCTTCAGTTCCATTTCAAGCTTATATCTTGTTTAAGAATTCCCCTCACATGCTCGTACATTCCATGTACTGACGCCATTTGGCCTGCATCTTTTATAATGTAGATACAGGTAACTAGGATCAACATCCAGGGCTTCGTTGATCCAGTTCAGCTTCAAAGTTGTTGGTGAACCTCATTGCTTTCGGAGGATTCCTTTTATTTTCTTTAACATTCTAGTTTTGTTAGGATGTCGTGGGTCTTGTCCCGATGTCCATCTCAGTTATTAGAGGCTTCATAGATAGATAGAAAGACACTAGTTCATGAGTCTTTTCATTTTCATTCGGTTGAGTTGCCGCTTTGGCTAGTCGAATGCTTATTTATAAAAAAATATAAGTTATCACTTGAGTTACAGTTTACTTTTTACAGTGATTTTATTATGAGTAAGTCTTTCACTAAGAGTTTAGCCAGGCCAAGGGTTCCCTTGGGGCCAACGATGGTTCTCGAATGCCAGTCCCGCCTAGTGTGTAGGCTTGGAGCATGACAAACTTGGTATCAGAGCACTGAGTTCAAGAGTCCTAGGGTGTCTATGAAGCCGTGTCTTTAGAGTCCTAGTTATCGGTGTGAAGCGCACCACATCTATAATTAGGAGGCTGCAACATTTAGGAACTATCTCACTTCTTTCATACTCATTTTGTGCGATAGAGTTTATCTCTATAAAAGTTTCCTTCTAATTCGTGCTTGCGCATATCTTTCAGATCATGTCTCCACGAAGAGCTGTCCGAGGTCATCCGAGAAGCTATCCGGATATTGAGTCAAGCTGTGACCAACCAAGTTGGGCAACATAGAGGGGTTCGATAGGAAGGGGCTGATACGTCTAGGATCCGCGAGTTCTTAAGGATGAATCCTCCAGACTTCATTGGTTCAAGTTTCACTAAGGATCCGAAAAACTTTGTGGATGAGCTTCAGAAGGTTTTTGAGATTATGCACATTGGTGATGCTGAGAGGGTGGAACTAGCTACATACCAAAGTTGCATACCAATTGAAGGGTGTCACTAGAATCTGGTTTGATCAATGGAGAAAGAATAGAGCTGAAGGTGCACCACTTGTGAGTTGGGCTTTGTTTGAGGAGGACTTCTTAGGGCGTTTCTTTCCCCGTGAACTGAGAGAAGAAAAGGTACGAGAATTCCTCACTCTTAAGCAGGAATCTAGGAATGTTCATGAGTATCGTATCAAGTTCACCCAATGTTCCCGCTATGCTCCGGAGATGGTTGTTGACATGAAAAACATGATGAGTTTGTTCGTTGTTGGGTTGTCTCATCTGTCAAGTAAGAAAGGCAAGACATCTATGCTCATAGGAGATATGGACATAGCAAGGCTGATGATCCATGTGCAACAGGTTAGGGAGGACAAGCTGATGGATAGAGAAGAGTTTAGAAACAAGAAGGCTAAGACATCACATAATGAGTTCGGGCAGCAAAAAAGTAATGTGAATCGGTCTTCTTTCCAACATAAGCAAAACAGACCTGCTCCATCATCTGCTAGTGCACCTGCACCAAGAAATAGAGGTGAGTTCAACAATCAGAATTTGCAAAATTTCAGAGCTAGACCTACGCAGTCTCAAGGTAGTGTGGCACAAGGAGGTAATGGGACTGCTGGATGTGTTAAGTGTGGTAGGAGCCACTCAGGAGTTTGTCGTGATGGCTCTACTGGTTGCTTCAAGTGTGATCAAAATAGTCACTTTAGGCAGAGGAGCAAAAGAACTATCTATATGCTATCACTAGTCGCCAAGTGCAAAAGAACTCCCCAGATGTTGTCACTAGTATGATCAAAGTCTTTAATTATGATGTTTATGCTTTGCTAGATCTAAGAGCGAGTCTATCTTTTGTGACTCCTTACATTACCATGAATTTTGATGTTCTTCCTGAGAAAATTTTTGAGCCCTTCAGTGTTTCTATACCTGTTGGTGAGTCTATTCTAGCTGAGAGAGTCTATCGTGATTGTACAGTTTCTATCAATCACAAGAATACCATGGATGACTAAGTAGTTAGATATGGTAGATTTTGATGTCATTCTAGGTGTGGATAGGCTTCATGCTTGTTATGCCTCAGTCGATTGTAGAACTCGAGTTGTCATGTTCCAGTTTCCTAATGAGCCAGTTATAGAGTGGAAGAGTAGTTCAGGAATGCCTAAGGGTCATTTTATTTCGTACCTTAAGGTGAGAAAGTTATTTTTCAAGGGGTGTGTCTATCACTTAGTCTCAGTTAATGACTCTAGTGTTGAGACACCTTCTATTCAGTCAGTTCCAGTAGTAAAAGAGTTTCCAGAAGTTTTTCTAAATGATCTTCTCGGAGTCCCTCCTGAGAGAGAAATATACTTC